GGTTAATGCCAGTTTCCAGGCACTGTAGGGGAGGCGTTAAACACAAATCCGGTCAGCAGAAAAAAACACTCCTGTCAAAAAGGAATAAAAATAAAGATGATGGCGGTTTTTAGGGTTTGGAGGGTTCAGGAAAAAAACTGCTCACTGCAAACTACTGACAGTCAAGAAGGGAGGGCTTGCACGGTATCGAATATTGTCAGTCGCCACTTCTATTCAGGAAGTTGGGGCTGGTCTAAACAGAGGCGCCGAAGAACAGCTGTCTTTTTGGCTAAAGAACTGTCCCTGGTGAAACTGTCCATAGTGTTCAGAGACCAAAAACACCATCGCTACATTATAGTCGATCAGTGGATTCAGCACCCAAAATTTTTGGGAGTTTTTCTGAATGCAAAAATCGAGTAACATTTCTGTTTAACAAAGGATGATTTTGCAGAGTTTTCACATTCATGAGTAGTTTATTCCAAATAGCTTTTGCATTTACAGAAAAGAATCGACCATAATTAACAGAACGTGCCAGAGGAAGAAATAAAAAGACCTCACGGTGACGTTTACGTCGGGGGTGGACAAGATGTCTTAAAGTGGTGAGTGGGTTAAAGGTCAGATAATATAAAACTTTAACAGCAAAAATAGGCCCTTTTGTATTCTACGAAACAACTAAAGATCAAAGCCTGAAAGCCCACAACGTTTTCGGTAAGACAAATGTCGGTATTCAAGGGTTAAACCTCTCTTGGTAAGAAAAATGTCGGACGGAATTTATTTTCTTCCGCTCAGAAGCACGTGTGAGGCTAAATAAAAACGAACAGTATTTCAGGCCAGGTCAAACGTATATATTATAAAGGCGCATTCTAATGACGCTAGTTTTAAAGTTTTGGGGGATAACACCGGCCGTTCTAGGTGCTTTGGAGACTATCAAGGCACAGTGCTCCGAGAGATTGAGACTCTTGGAGTATGATACACCCAGATTCTTAATAAACCCAGGCTGGCGGTCGTCGCCAACCACCATAACTGAGCATTTGTGCCAAGAAAGGGAACGGCGCCGTGTGCGACGCCACTGGTCAAAGGCCTGTAGGTCGCTCTTCAGGTGCTTAAGCACGATGTCACGATCTGCCGGCTTAGGTCTGTATGCAATTGTCAGATCATCGACATACATGAACGGCTTGCAATTCTGAAAAACATTGTGTACATCGTTACCAAAAACCAAAAATAAAAGCGGGCCGAGTACACTACCCTGAATGACTCTACTCCTCACACGTTTGGGGTTGGAGATAGTATTGGAAATCTTAACGCGTTGTCTACGAGTGCCCAGGTAAGAGGATAGAAAATTTAAAAGTTTGCCAACTATTCCGAAAGAGGACACTTTCGAGAGAATAGGAGCATTGTCAGCAAGATCAAAAGCCTTAGTGAAATCGAAATATACGATGTAAAGTGCAAAACCATTCTCCCTAGATTGGAGAACATAGTCAAAGAAAGATAGCTGACAGGTGCCACAAGACCAGAGCTTTGAGGAATCCATGCTGAAAAAAAATGAGTAGGTTATTCTCTGTTAAGTGACACATCATCTTATGTTTGATCACTGCCTCTAAGATCTTCGAAACTGCAGGGAGGGTGTTTATTGGCCGAAAGTCACCAAACGACGTAGATTGGCCATGCTTGGGAATGAGCAAAATATGTGATTCCTTCCACAATGTAGGATAGGTTTCACTTTCAAGGGCGAGATAAAATATTTTGCATAAGATGGATGGGAAAATCGTATTTGCATCGGCTTTTAAAACGCTTACTGGGACACCATCACGCCCAGTTATATGAGACTGACGGAAGCGCCGAATCGCAACAGTCACATCCCACAGCTTAAAAATTATAGTTCCGAGAACTGCCCCGGTCAACGCCTGGATGGTCAGGAACGGAGTGGTCGTGTCTTCAGTAAATCTTTTGGACAGGAATGCGTTGAAGCTATCAGCGGTTAACTGGATATCAGCTATAGGATACTCGAGAACTTCTCGGAGGGTGGGATGCTGCGTATTTCTGCGAGTTCGTACTTTTCGGGAGAACGGTTTCGAGATATTTACGAATGGTTTTCAGTGAATTGGACCTATTTGGATAGCTGTTTTTCATGAGAAAATCTCTTAGCCCGCTCAAAAATATCTTAAATCAAGGGCAGAAATGGAACATCGTTCTGGGGGTGGGATCGAACAGAAAGTCTGCGCAACCTGCGACGAAAGGGTAAGGGTAGGAAAACCTCATCTCAATCGTTAATAATTTTTCTACGGGAGACAAAACCAGAAATAAGCGGATCCAGACATTCGTACAGTTTAGCAGTGCAAACATTTACATCCGACCTAAAGAAGAAATCAGTCCAGTCGTTGGAATTAAGGTGTCCTAATAATTTGGTTGAGCGAGTTAATCGGAAATCGCGGAAAAAGTTATCCTTTATGGACAACGTTTTGTCAGCCTCGAATTCCAACGTTGAAGCAACTACGTCATGGTCTGACCCCCCGAGTGGGCCTAGGGATGACACTGACGGTAGCATGCAGCCTCTACAGAAAATTAGGTCAAGCATGCCTGATCCTCGGGTTGGAAAATGGGTAACCTGACTTCAGCTCCCACCATTCACAGCCTCAAGAAAATCTTCAAACCTTCTGGGGTCGGAAGACGGAGGGTAGCGGACTTTAGGAAGATTTAAGTCACCCCCAACCAATTGATACTTAAAGCTTGAGTCGGCCGCAGCATGACATGCCTGTGAGGGTAAACAATCAAAATCCTCATTTTTGTTGGGAGGGCGAAAGACAGCCAACGAGTAAGGAGAACTTATATTTTAGTGCAACCTGGAGCCAGCAGCTGCCTCCTATCGCGAAAA